AGATAAAACCTTGACACATACCTTTCAAATTTTAAGCCAACAGTATTCCTTTGCTCTGAAAATATCCTTTGAAAACTGGAACATGAAATGAACCAAGTACGAATACAGGAAAACTAGATGCTGTCAAAACTGAAATGGAACACAAGAACACTGACAGACATTCTTGGCATTGGTGAGATAAGATGGACTGCCATTGGACACTAAGAAAAGAATGGATTTGCAGTCACAATTAGAAAGATAATTCCAAGTTCTAAAAGGTTATGAATGGTACAATACCATTCATTCACATATAAGGAAGAACTATTAATATGACATATTCAAATATATGCCCCAACAGCTAAAGCCAAGGAATTTGAGGAATTTTACAAAATTTTGCAATCTGAAATTGATCAATTGTGCAATCAAGATGTGGTAAAGATAATTAGTGACTGATATACAAAAGGTGCAAAGAATTAAAATGTAATGGTTCTGAAGAACAACAATGTCAGTCTGTAAACTAAGGTGCACCTGATACAGGCCATGGTCTTTGCAATTACTTGCTATGCATCAGAGAGCTGGACAACGACTAGAGATGATAAAAGGAGAATTCATGCCTTTGAGCTGTGGTGCTGGAGAAGAGTATTGAGTAAACCATGGAATAAGAGAACAAACTGGTTCATGCTAGAGGTGGTGAAACATGGCTGTTCCTTGGAGGCAAGGATTCTGAGGCTTCATCTGACATATTTTGTACATGTTGTAAGGAGCAATCAGTCCTTGGGGAGGGATGTCATGCTTGGCAGTGTGGAGGGACAGTGCAGGAGTGGAATATCCTCAATGAGACGGATTGGTTCCATAACTGGGGTAATGGGAGTAAGTGTGTCAGAGACAATAAGATTGGCACAGGATAGAGCAGAGTTTAGGGCTGTTGTCTATACAGTTGCTATGAGTCATAGATGACTTGATTGCATGTAACAACAATAACAACTTGGAAAATACAGACTTGGTGACAATAATGAGGGGGGAAATCTAATGGTTGCATATTCTACATGTGATGATTTATTAATTACAAATATCTTAAAAAAACACTAACAGCAAATTTACACATGGACCTAACATAAGGGACTGTACAAGAATCAGATTGACTATATATAATGTGAAAAGAATTACTTACTGGGGAAGATCAACATCAGAGATCAAAATCAGGGCAAAAGCTGACTGTGTAACAGACCATCATTTACTCATGTGTAATTTCAAGTTGAAGCAGATAAAAATTAAACAAATCCATAGGAACCAAATATGACCATCTGAATTTAGAGATCATCTTAAGAATAGATATGAAGAGTTCAACAATTATCAATGCCCACATGAGTTGTGAGGTTGTGAGATGACATCAAAGGTATCATCAATAATGCATTACAAAAACAGTCATTACAAAAACAGAAGAGAAAGTGTGTGTGTGTGTGAACCCAACCATAAATGGATGTTAGAAAAGAATCTGAAAATTTCACAAGAGTGTAAACGAGCTGAACAGAAGATCTTAAAGGGCAGCTCAGGACAATATAGCAAAATATTACAACAGAATGTGCAGACAGCTGGAGTTGGAGAAGAAAAAGTACAGAACTGGCTCAGCATTTCTCAAGCTGAAAGAACTAAAAATCAAATTCAAGCTTTAACTGGCAACACTGAGAGATGCTATGGGCAAAATCTTGAATATGGATATACAAATGCGTGTATGTTTAACACATATATTTACACATAAGTTTTGGTGATTACATTTAGTACATTTGTTCATTATTAGTAATTTAGATTCTCAAAAAATAGACTTTTGTTTTATATATACTTTTTCAAGTGGCAAACTTTTGTCAAGAATTCATAAAGTTAAGATGGGGGGAGGGAATAAGGGTTCTACATTGAAATTTGTTGGAATCAGAACTCTGTGGGACTGCCATATTTTTCCAGTTTTCACAAGTTTTCTTCATTTGATGGGTGGAGTCTTACCATTATTCTATTTACTCTCTATTAGATTAAAGTATATGAGATTTCTTTCTCTGACAGATACCTTATAGAGATACCAACTCTCACAGGTTGTTCTGTGTTTTAGATGTCTGAGAGGGACTGGGTTTAATTCAACTGACTTCAGAAAAGATACTATCACCAAAAGGTAGAATATATATGTAATCCAGGAAATAAAAAGATTAATTGCACTGGGAAAGTCTACAGTCAGGGACCTCTCCAGAGTACTGAAAAATAACGATGTCAACCTGGAGACTAAGGTGCACCTGACCTAGGTCATAGTCTTCACAATTACTTGGTATACATCAGAGAGCTGGACAATGACTAGGTATGATAGAAAGAAAATTGATAACATTGAGTTGTGGTGCTGGAGAAGAGTAATGAATATACCATGTACTGCCAGGAGAACAAACAGGTTCGTCCTAGAGATGGTGAAACCAGGATGCTCCTCAGAGGCAAGGATTCTGAGACTTTATCTGACAAACTTTAGGGATGTTGCAAGGAGGAATCAGTCCTTGGAAAGGAACATCATGTGTGGGAGGGTGGAGGGACAGTGCAAGAGAGGAAGACCCTTGATGAGATGGTTTGATTCAATGACTGGGGTAATGAGAGTGAGTGTTTCAGAGACAATATGGTTGGCACAGGATAGAGCTGGTTTCAGGGCTGTTGTACATAAGGTCACTATTGAGTCACAAGTGACTCAACAGCACATAACAATAACAACAACATATACCTATATAACCAGAGTAAAACCTATTCAAAGCAGATTTGTTCTTTGCCTATGATATATTCAGTATTCTTAGCCAACACCACAATTCAAAGTCATTGATTCTTCTGTCATCCTTGTTCTTCCTCTAACTTTCAGAAGCAAAGGAAACAACTAAAAAGACTATTACTTCATCTAATGCACCATAGTCTTTAAACTCACATCTTCCTTCTTTAGAACTTTTAAGATGTCCTTAACAGATTTCTCTAACATAACACATCTTTTAGTTTCTTGACTGCTGCAACCATGGACTGCAAAAATAACAAGCAAATCGCTCTTAAGAGCAGTTAAACCAGATTGCTCCTAAGAAGCAAGGATGGTGAAACTTCATCAAATTTACTTTGAGTGTATTCTCAGGAAGAATGAGTGTTTGTAGAGAGATAAGTTAGTGAAAAAGGTGGAAGGTCAGAGAAGGAGAGGAAGACTTTTAACTAGATGGATGAATATACTGACTACCACAACGGAATAGAGTGTCACAGATCTTGGGGATGGTGCAAGATAGGAAGAAACTTAGATGTGTTGTTCATAGAATTACTATGAGTTGTAGTCACCTCAATGGCACTTAACAACAAAGTAAAATGAGCATTAACTTTTTAATTGCATTTTACCTGTATTAATAAATAAGAGTGACATATGTAATGTTATTCCTGCCTCCTGGGGTCTGAAATAAATAAATAAAATTATTATTGCAATTGTACAAGAAGCATCATGGCAGTTATTTTTTTTTTAAAAAGCGGACACCAATCCAATTCAGACTGGAACAATTGCATGTATTGCAGAGCAGAACTGTACTTTGTTGGAGTCTCAGGGCTGTGATCTTTTGAAAGGAAATCACCAGGCTTTTCCTCCAAGGGCCCTCCAGGTGAGTTTGAACTTCAGTTCCTCCTGTTATTGGCCATTTGTACAACACAGCACTCCCATTGCAGTAAAAAGGACAACATGTATAACTGATTTGCATGAGAGCAGCCTTAGGAAGGATTTCCAAATTACTCTTGGTCTTGAACAAAGATAAGGCGTTCACTAGGTGAATCATCAGGGAAGCAAATTCTCTGTGGAAAAATGGCCACAAGTGAAAAAAGAAGTATGAACCAAGAATTATTAAAAGATGCAATTAGTTTGATAAGACTTTCACATGGGATCAATTTGCATAAATGTTACACTCAAACAAATGATATTATGATATTGAAAACTAATATCTTTTCCCATGTTTCATTGCCTAAGTGAAAGCTGTTAGCCATTGGGGAAAAAACTATTGACCTAATTAAAACCTTTTCTTTTTATTAATCACATTATGAAATTGAAAGTTGAATTTATGTTGTTGTTGTTGTTTGGTGCCGTCGAGTTGTAGACGACTCATAGCGACCCTATGAGCGAAAGGCCTGAGCACTGTTCGTACATAGCGTTTCCGGAGGCAAGCCATTTCGGAAGTGGATGCGGCTCCTGCTTCCAGTCTTGATTTAGTCGGGAAGCTCCAGCCAACACTGTCCACCATGGGTACCCATTACCACGATTGGCACAGTTGAATTTATAGACAACCATAATTCTAATCTGATAAATAATGGTCTGGTACAGAAAGGGTGAGAGCTAAGTAGAAAAGAAGTTATAGTGATGGAATTATTTTCCTAGTTCAGTACATGTAAGAATGACTGCAATAGTCTTCATCTAGGTGCCCCTCCTTATCATACACATCTCAGCTCATGTGTCTTATTGTTAAGAGCTCTCTTGTACCACATAATCTAGATGGTCTACTCTAGGACATACCTCGGTTTTAATTCTGTACACCACACTAATTATTTATTAAATGATTATTTAATATCCACTATTTTATTGAAATATAGGCACCATAAGGAAACAGAAGTTTAGTTTGGTACAATGGTGAATTCCAGGACTGAAATCAGTAACAACCAGATAGCTATCAGAAGATTCAGTTATTATTATTGTTATTATTAATTCATGGTGGATTAAAGAGAAAATAAAGTTGAAATAACCTTTTAACTTTGTGCTTGGTTGACTACGTATATTTTGAACCATATGCTGAGATAGTGGGCATAGAAAATAATTGCATTTGAAACTATGTGAGAATGAATGGACTTTCAGAACTTTTAAGTTTTAAAGAATTGTATAACTTATTTAGAAGTCATGTAGAACTCTGACATTCCAGAGATCTTTAAGAATAGTACAACAAATTGTATCTCATTTTAAAGAATCTTTTGATGGCTTTGCCTTTTCTCTGTTCTAGGTCATGAACCTCAACTGTTCCTTGTGGCAGGAAAACAATATGTCTGTCAAACGCTTCGCTTTTGCAAAGTTCTCTGAGGTCACTGAACAGTGCTTCCTCCTGTTTACCCTCATCCTACTCATGTTCTTAGCATCTCTGACAGGAAATGTTCTCATAGCTCTCGCCATCTGGACCAACCCAGTACTGCACACTCCCATGTACTTCTTCCTGGCCAACTTGTCTCTCTTGGAGATTGGCTACACTTGTTCTGTCATACCCAAGATGCTACAGAGTCTTGTGAGTGAGGCTCGCAGTATATCCCGGGAAGGTTGTGCCACACAGATGTTTTTCTTCACATTATTCGCTATTAGTGAATGTTGTCTTTTGGCAGCCATGGCTTTTGACCGTTACATGGCCATATGTTCTCCACTCCACTATGCAACACGAATGAGTCGTGGGGTGTGTGCTTATTTAGCGATGGTTTCGTGGGCAGTGGGGTGTATAGTAGGTCTGGGCCAGACAAATTATCTTTTTTCCTTAAACTTCTGTGGCCCCTGTGAGATAGATCACTTCTTCTGTGACCTTCCACCCATCTTGGCACTTGCTTGTGGGGATACATCTCATAATGAGGCTGCAGTCTTTGTTGTGGCTGTCCTTTGTATTTCCAGTCCATTTTTACTAATCATTGCTTCCTACGGTAGAATTCTAGCTGCTGTACTGGTTATGCCCTCACCTGAAGGTCGCCATAAAGCTCTTTCAACTTGTTCTTCCCACCTACTGGTAGTAACATTATTTTATGGTTCAGGATCCATCACCTACCTGAGGCCCAAAGCCAGTCATTCTCCAGGAATGGACAAACTCTTGGCCCTTTTCTATACGGTGGTGACATCCATGCTAAACCCTATCATCTATAGTTTAAGAAACAAAGAAGTCAAGGCAGCTCTCCGTAGAACTCTGGGCAAGAAAAAAGTATTGACAAATGCATAATAAGCATGTCATGACTATACAATGCTGCTTTTTGGGAAAGTGCTTGTACATCCTAAGAATAAGTAAATTCATTGAATATTATGTTCTCTTCTATTGTATTCAGAGCTTCTTTAATAACAGTAATTGCAGTTTTGAGACATATCTGTACTCAGAATTGAAGTTTTAATTGTTAAATTATGTAGAGCAATTGGATACTGACTTTTTTAAAAAGGTCAGTCCAATAATAGAATGATTTACAAAATTTAATTTTTAAATTTAATCTATGTTTTTAATATACATTTCCAGATTATATTTTGGAATGCTCACAAAGTCTTAATCTGCACTTATGTATTTTCTCACACCTTTCACATCTGACTTCTCTGGTCATTAAAGAACATGTTTCTGCATCCATCCATCACATTTCTTTTATATAAATGAATTTTAAATCCATAATGTCATTATAGAGTGCATTAAATTCTTCAAGTTGTTTTAATTCTTTGTTCATCTTTAGTCAATAATATATGATACAGAACAAAAGTTATCTTTTTGTGAATGTGAAATCATAATAATAGTTAAACCCTTATGTTCCTAAAGTATATGTTACAGACTCTTAAAGGAGAACTATGAAAAATTGTAATAAAAAGTTCTATACTGAAAGTATTTTAACAAGAAAAAATAATCCTAAATCTGACTTAAATAATTTATTAAGTAATTTAAGACTTTTACATAGTGAATAAAACAGTGAGCTTCACATTTCAGAAATGGTAAAGATGGTCCAAGGTAGAGTAAGTTTCAGCTCTGTTTTTAATAGAGTCCTTATGAGTTGTAGACTACACAACATCTAATACCAACAATGTACAATTATATCTATACATTTGAATTCCCATAATATGGGCTCAAATAAACTCTCATCTATAACCAGTTTTTTAAAAAATCTTTTTGTTAGGAAAAGAAAAATTTGTTCAATAAATGGTTTTAGGAAATTAGATTTTCCTAGAAAAATGAAGCAGTATATGATTTACACCACACACAAAGCCAAAAAAAAATTGAAGACCTAAATATAAAAACTAAAAATCATAATGTTTTTAAAATAAATTATCAAATGAAACATGCCAGAATTAAATTTTAACAATTATTCAATATAATAGCATAATTACATTTCTTCTTAGGCACTAACTTTCCCAACCTACCAGTGATAACCTAACTTGATTATGATATTCATTCATCTAATAATAATTTATTATTATTAATAAATAGTTATTAGATTATATAAGAATAATATAATAATTTATAGAAGTACATTTTGAAAATATAGAAATATAAAGTCTATATGTTGTTGTTGTTGATTTCCTTTGAGTCAAACACAACTCATAGGCACCCTATGAACAAAAGACCTGAAGCTCCTCTACAACTATCGACATTTATTGAAGTTCATAGGGTTTCTGGAGGCACGCTATTTGGAAGTGGATGCCACTTCTGCTTCCAAAGGTCTATATAGACAAGTTATATTTCTTTGGCCTCTGATTAGATTATGTTTTTCTCTACTGTGTGTATATTTTAAAATTTTTCTCAAATCACTACATTCAACCCCATATTATCTTCAGCTTACCTATTTATTTGTATTCGAATAATTCCCTAGGGACAGTCACTGTTAAAGCACTGATTATTTTTATAGAAAATTTATAAAATATAAAGTACAACAAGTATGCCCTGATCAGTGTCTAGTATTAAAGCCAATAGAAATCTTGACAATATTCTATGAATAAATAACTATTTTGAACATATAAAAGCAAAATCATTATCTTAAAATTGAAAACAATGTCAAATGATTAGTTCTGTTAAATCTCTTTGTCATCAAGTCACAATCAACTCAATGTTGAGCCCCCACTGGGTTTCTGAGCCTTTAAATCATATCAGAGGAAATTACCCACTTTTTCCTCAGAGCCATTGGTGGACTCAAACCACCTAACGGGTTAAACCTTTGCTTTAGCAGCACAACTCCCTAGAGACTATGCTCCACAGCTCCTTGATGTGTATGAGAACAGATGAAAATTTGATGCTCTATACGAAAACAACTTTCCATAACCTATCAAAGTATAATATATTTAACAATACCAAAGAAATGAGAAAGCCATTTGTACATCAACTTATTTCTTTTTGACAAATTTAAACATTCAAATTTAATTATGAAATTTGTGTTCACATGTTATTTTAACATTCTGTTAAAGACCTAAAGTTATGATCAAATGATTGAGAGCAATACTGTAATGATGGATGCATAAAAGAGCATCCAGAACATCTCTCTTGGTTCTTCCTCCTTGAATGAATGAGATAAGGGAGGGAACTCCTGCCCAATAATCCCTGAATTTAGGAGTGGCATCCAATTCCTAAATAACATGCCTCCGGAAACTCTATGAACTTTCATAAATGTCAATAGTTGTTTTTTTTTTTGTTTTTTTTTTTTAAATGTCAATAGTTGTAGAGGGATTTCAGGCCTTGTGTTAATAGGGTTGCTATGAGTCATGCTTGCCTCAAAGGCAATCAACAACACAACAACAATCCCTGAATATACTTAGTCCTGCAGGTCCCTACTGACTGAATGAAACTCGCAGTCCTCTAAGCCAAAATATTAGATGTTTGTTGGTTTTGTAATTGTTGCTGTTAGATGCCATTGATTTGGCATCTACTTATAGCAACCTTTGCACAATATATTGAGCCTTGGTCCAATTCTCTTCCATCTGCACAATCTCTGCTATACAATTGTAATCACTGTGTCAATCATCAGGATCTTCTTCCCTTTAACTGACCTCACACCATTTGCAAACATGATTATTTTTTCAAAAAACTGGTTTCTCCTGAGAACATGCCCAAAATACATGAGACTAAATCTCACAATCTTTTCTTTTAAGGAACAATCTGGCTGCGCTTTCAAGCAGATTTCTTTGTTCTTTTAGCAGTCGGTGGTATGTTCAATGCTATTCACCAACCTCACAATTAAAAGGCATTATTAGTTTTTCCTAAGTCACCTTATTCATTGCCCAATTTTAACATGTCTATATAGCAGTGGAAATGTTCCATGACTTAGGCCAGATTAACTTAATATTTAAAACTATATTCTTTTCTTTTTTTTTACATTCTTGATCTTCAACACTTTAAAAAGTTTGTTGACAAGGCCATGGAAACAGACCAAATGTCTGACCACAATCAAATGGATTGAGAATTTATGGTACATTCACACAATGGAGTACTACACGGTATGCAGGAGCAATGATTTTGTAAATCACTACCTAACTTGCAAGGGACTAGATAGAGAACATTATGTTATGTGAACAAACTCAGTGTCATAAGGACAAATACTGCATAAAAACCATTATGTTAGAAATAGAAAGATAATTAATAAAACATGTATGAGGATCTAAGGGAGGGGAGGATGAGGAGGAGCATTGTCAGCAAGCAAAATTATGCTATCTGCATATTGCAAGAGGTTTATGAGCCATCCTCCAATCCTGATAACAATTCCTTTTTCACAGAGTTCAACTCCACAGATAATTTGCTTACTATGCATTGCAAATACACCTTGTGAAAGAACACACTCCCTGAAGCACACTTTCTTTACTATAAACCATTCAGGATCTCCATGTTCAAACAACTCTTTCTTGGTATATGTAGAGATTTTGCATGACTACAATAAGTGTTCTGTAAATTCTCACTTTTCTCAATGTTATCCATAATTTATTATTATATAAATAGTCAAATACCTTTGCGTAGTCACTAAAACACAAGTAAACATCTTCTTGGTATTATCTGCTTTCAACCATATCCTTCTGACATAAATAATGATGTTCCTTATTCCAGGACCTCTTCTAAGTTCAGTTGGAATTTCTAGAAGTTCCTTGTTAATGTACTGCTCCAATAGATTATGAATTACTTTTAGCGAGGTACTTGTGTGTGATATGTGAATTTTCTAATTATTCTTGTATGATCCATAGTGATCCCTATGAACAACAGATCAGAAAACCTGCTCTATCCTGCATGACCCTCACTATCGTTACCGCACTCAAGTTCACTGTTACAGTCACTTACAATTTCTATAAAGCATCCCCTGAGTCTAGTGCTAATATCTAGAAAGCAATCAGGGTTCTTCTCAGATAAACTCAAATTTACGCAGCTATAACCCAAGGTCTACTTTCATGGAGTATTGTTGTTGTAGTGGCTGTGAAGTAAAAATTGACTCATAGCTGACCCTCCAGTGGATTTTTCAGAGGCAATAAATTGCACTGTCCATCCTTCTCCTTCAGAGTAGCTTGTGGATTCAAACTGAGTGGAAGATTTCTTTTTGTAATGTGAAATCAGAATTGCTACAACTATGTTAGCCATATCATTGGTCACTAGCAGTCTTTGGATATAAAAATTTCTTTGTATTGAACTTCTAACCTAAGCATGACAGTTCAAAAAAATACATCAACAGTCACATGTGGAAAAGTCATAGCCATATGCTCAAATAAAGATTTCAGTCAATAAACATCTTAGCTAGCTCAGTTATACCCTTGTAACACACAGGGCCACCACATGTCAAAAATCTATTCAGCAGTAATGGTTTAGTACACTAACCTGGGATGTATGAAAGTGCACACATTCGTATGTACATCCTTATAATTAGTTTCCTTTTTATGACTATAAATTAGACAAATAAGGTGATATAAAATATTTCAAAAATGAGGTTGCTTAATTAACTTCAGCATTTCATTCAAAGTTTATTTCACACCTTATTTTGTGTAAGTGCGCCTCATAAACTAAAGGATAAACTGTATATATCTCAAAGTTCTTAGGAAGTTAGTGTGTGCAGTTCACATACCTCATTCTCTTAGATCTTTATCAAGCAGCCTTTTCAAAGCTGTCTTAACTTCTTTGTTTCTCAAGGTGTAGATCAAAGGATTAAGAGAGGGAGTCACTACAGTATAGAAAAGTGTGAGGAATTTACTGTGATTCTGTGTGTACTTGCTCTTAGGTTGGATGTAAACACAAATTATCGTCCCGAAGAACAAAACTACAACAATCAGGTGAGATCCACAGGTTCCAAATGCTTTCCTTCTGCCTTCAGCTGATTTTATCCTCAACACACTTCTCACAATACAACCATAGGAGACTAAAATGAGTCCCAGGGGTACAATCACATAAAGGACAATAGCTACAGCAAGCTCATTTTCAAGGAATGTTGTGTCCACACAAGCAATTTTGATGAGAGCTGGTTCCTCACACATAAAATCATCCACATTGTGATGGCTACAGAGGGGTAATTGAAAAACAAGTATAGTCTGAACTGTGGATTCCAGAAACCCACTGACCCAGGTCACAGCTGCTAATTGTCGAAGAAGTTTGGGGTGCATGATAACACTGTAATGGAGAGGTCGACAGATAGCGTTGAAGCGGTCATAGGCCATAACCGTCAGAAGAATACACTCTGTGGAGCCAAGACCCAAAGCAATGTATAGTTGGATCACACAACCAGTGTAACTGATGGTCTTCTCAGGGCCCTTGAGATTCCAAAGCATCTGTGGAACAATACTTGTGGTAAAACAGAGGTCCAAGAAAGAAAGATTAGAAAGGAAGAAGTACATGGGTGTATGTAGTTTAGGGTTCAAGTATGAGACCAAAATTATAGATGTGTTTCCCATCAGGGTCAGAATGTATATGACAGAGATGATTAGAAGGAGGACTATCTCTAGTTGAGGTTGGTCAGAAAAGCCTAACAAGATGAAACCTACTGGGTTGCTAATGTTTGTCACTTTCATGGCTTCTTAATTAAGAACCATCTTTCTTGGTCATTCCTAGTTCATTCCTGTAGGAAAAAAAATAGGCTATAATAACCAATGGAAAAAGAACAAACATTAAAACTAGAGCCTTTAGACATGAGAAATAGAAAAACTATAAAATAATGCAATAACTTGATGGATTTATTTGTGAGAGATATCTATATCTATCTGTCTGTCTATCTATCTATCTACGCACACATGCATAAAGTCATGCAACACCAAAAGCATTGAAAAGAAAACCAATTTTGTGTATTTCTCTGGTATTCTATGGTATATTTGATATTATTTATCAGCTAAAAAATGACCTTGTCCTCTCTCTTTGAAACACTGATCTACTATCACTAACTATGAATATTATTTTCTAGGAGAATCAAAAATATTTGATTAGTAAGAAAGAAACCTCAGTTATGTAAGGAATACTTAATACAGCTGCTAATGAAAAAAGATCAGCTGTTTGCACTGACCAATTATTGCTGAATTAATGGCACACAACAACTGCTCTTTGAGAAAAAAAAATGAGGTAACCTGCTTCCAGAGAGCATGGTCAGTTCTAATCTATGCTACATGTTTGCTATGATATGGAAACTGACTTAATAGTGAGTTTTGTTTGATTAAGCAAATTATTTACCTCTGAGACATTCATGCTGCACACGTTTTAGGATGCTTTCATGAAAACAGGTTCTTAATTCAGCCATCCAATACAATCCAATGATCTTCTATGAAGTGAAGTATATTTTGTAGAATTAATTCACATATTTTACCTGGAAAACATAGTACAATAACCTTCTTCTAAAACTCTTCCAGTTATATTGAATCTTGAGAAGTTATGGCATATTTGAGTCAAAAGAGACTTTGTGGTACACTTTCTTTGACTTTCATAGTGATAATTAAATCATACTCTGACACTTGACCTTGGTGAGTTTATTATGAATATTATTATATTCCATTTGGGATTATAATAATAAAAGGACACTAATGGTCACATAGCTTAACATGTGTCTGAATTACAAAAATATACATACATACATTAATACTTAAAATCAGATTTGAGGCACATACCAAATTACTTGGAGCTAAAAATATAGGCTCATAATTATCTACTTTTGAATGGGGGGGGACCGTTGAAAAACATTTGCTCCATACAAAAGTTAATGATGTTGAGCAATTGGCATAATTCATAAACTGAAAGATGCATGAAATGATCAAGAATTAGATTTCTACTGGTAGTAAAACAGTAGATGAGTGGACTAATTTTTCGTCCTTTTGGTTTGTTACAGTTCTGTTTTTGCACTTGAGTTATTGTGTTAAAGAAAAACCAGTACTTTCAAGAGAAAATTTCAACCAGAAGCTTTTCCTCTCTCTTTCACCTTCTTGTTAATGGAGATGAAGGTAAGCAGATCTATGTTTGTAAGGTAAGAGGGTACTCAAGTTTCCATGCTTGAGAATGTAGTAAATATTGTATCATATATATTGATTATGAAAATTAGCTTCTGGTAAATCATCAGTTGATTCCCCAACTTTTTGGAGAACATTTCATTATTTCCCCCCATAACATGAAAAAGAAAAGCTACCTTCCAGGATGACTAATGCGCTGGTGGTTTTTATGAGGTTTCAATAGTGGTCACAGATCCAGGATTGTTAGTACGAGAACCAGGTGTCACCCTCTACCATAATTTCTTTATCCAAATTATCTTCAAGTAAATATAGTTACCTTATTAACAAACATCTCTGGATTTTTTTTTCTTTTCAGATAACTATATTGGACAGAAAACCAAGTCTCTGGAGGGAATATAACCTCAGAGACTTGTACTTATGTTTCTAGTAGTAGGCAATTAATTTCAACCATTTCCTAAACATGCAGAGGTTGTTACAGGCACACAAAATTTTTTTTCTGTGAATACATTCATAACAGAAACCACAACTGAAATTTCAGAATTGAGAATATCCTATTAAAATGTCCATAAGATTAATAATTTACTAGACTTGTTTTAAGATTATGTTCTTGCTACTAGATTTCCAAAATTGTACATATATTTGGATATGATGAGAAGAAAGTACACTGTAATATTCAATATTAAAATAGAAAATTGTAAATTCATAAGCTTTATCAAGGATTAATGGTAAGGAGTTGCACTGTCAGCCCAGAGGCAAGTTGTTGAAATTTGCCAGGTGATTAATGGGTAAAAGATGGGCAATCTTCTCCACAATTTATAGCCTCTGAAAACCCAAAGGCTGATCAGCTATGAGTTGATTCTGACTCAAATGACACAAAGCAACAACATCCAGGAAAGAGTAAAAGTAAATCATTTCAGAAAGTAAGTTTGCTCTGCATGTAGCATTGCTGTGACATCTTTAAAAGTAGACAATGATTTTTATAATAGTTTTTATTGCATACAGCATACATCCTAAGTTTTGTGCAAAGTAATACATTAGGAAGAAGGAAGGACAAATTAAAAACTTCACGTATATTTGTTTTGGAGATCTTAAAATTTATTTTTCAGTTTATATTCTGAAAAAGGCTATGTATACAGGAATAATACATAGCTTGATTAAAAATATTCATACTTAAATATAGGCAGAAAACTACCAGAAGTCCAGGCAAGGTTTAGAAGGCGTACTAGGGATATTGTAGCTGATGTTAGATGGATCGTAGCTGAAAGCAGAGAATACGAGAGTAATATCTATCTGTGTTTCATTGACTATGCAAAGACATTTGACCGTGTGGATCATAACAAACTGTGGCTGACTCTGAGAAGAATGGGAATCCCAGAACACTTGATTGTGCTAATGCGAAACCTATACTTGGACCAGGAGGCAGTCGTGAGAACAGAGCAAGGGAACACTGCATGGTTCAAAATTGGGAAGGGCGTATGCCAGGGATGCATCTTATCTCCAT